ATGTCCATATTGCTAAAATAATGTTGGAATTTTATGTTCTCCTGTTACATTAGGTTTGGTCTTTATTTAATGTTTAAAGGAACACTATAGTATCAGGTATAAAAACATGTATTTGTGACACTATAGGCCTAAAAAGACATTTAGGTGACCGGACCCATCCATGTCCCCCATTAAAAAGGTGTTTTACTCACCTTTTACCAGCGCCGTGTGGATCTACTTGCGGTTTGCTCTGCCACCCTTGGCTCAGATCAGCAAACTTGATGATCTCAGCCAATCCAATGCTTTTCCATGTGAAGGCATTGGGAGGCTATTGCGCATTTGCGGGAAAATGTCACGATGCATTGAATCAATTGTCCCTTTAAGTACCCTCGCCCTAATTTGGAAATCATTGCTTACTTGTGTGTGGAAACAGACCATGAGATGGAAACAGACAATGAGATACGAATGTAAGCCTTTGAAGTAATAAATTGAAGTTACATTCCTAAAGCAGTAATCAATGCAGGTATATAATGTGTGTACCATAGAAAAATAAGAAAAAAAGCATTTTCTGTAGCATGGGGGACTCTCCAGGTATCAGTATATGAATAAAGGTTCATTAATGAGCTGACATTTTGGATGAATGATGCATCTTATGTGTCTTTTGATTAGGACATAGAAACACAAAGGTATGTCCACTCCCTTCTTTGTATGTAAATAACAACCACCTGCTGCCCAAGTGTGAGGGTTATGGGAGACAAAGGGATCTCCCCCTCATTTCTCTATTACTAGCCAACTTCCTCCCATAGGATGGGGGACATTATAAACCCCCCTCTTATTTTTTTTCTTTCCTTTTTCTTTTCTTTAATAGATCTGGCCGCATAATGGGTCCAAAGGTGGACTTTGACAGGTCTTTTCTCCTCCCTCGGTTGCTCACTTTAACACATAGGGCATTTTTCCCCACAATTTGGTTTATCCAAATTGTTCCCCAAGATGATGACATGTATGAAATTTATTTGAACCAAAGCACCGTATGTAAGAAATTTGGTTCATCCAAATCCATTTTTTTTTAAATCGATTTGGATGAACCACTTTTTTGATCTTTTAAAAATGTTATTATGAGCACTAGTGATGTCGCGAACCTGAAATTTTCGGTTCGCGAACGGCGAACGCGAACTTCCGCAAATGTTCGCGAACCGGCGAACCGCCCGAAACGCCATTGACTTCAATGGGGAGGCGAATTTTAAAACACACAGGGACTCTTTCTGGCCACAATAGGGATGGAAAAGTTGTTTCAAGGGGACTAACACCTGGACTGTGGCATGCCGGAGGGGGATCCATGGCAAAACTCCCATGGAAAATTACACAGTTGATACAGAGTCTGGTTTTAATCCATAAAGGGCAGAAATCACCTAACATTCCTAAATCACAATCAATATGGATTGACACCTGACATATGACATGTTGACACCTTGACATATGGATTGACACCTGTCCTCAGAGCCCCTGATGCACACGGACACAGAGCAGAATAGAGACTGGTCCCCCTACATAGGGTCACTTGGCAGATATGGATTGACACCTGTCCTAAGGATCCCTGATACACACTGACACAGAGCAGAATAGGGACTGTTCCCCCTACATCGGGTCACTTGGCAGATATGGATTGACACCTTGTTACAAACTGCTATTTGTAACGGGCCCTTTAAATGGCAAATTGCCCTGTTTCCCTGGGTTGTGGAGAAGCCTCTTTGCCAGCCTCCTCCCGCATGACTATGGCCCCTGGGAGATTGTGAAAATGTATGCACTTTTATTTGGTGTGTATGGCCCTTTAAGACTGTCGGTGGGCATATTGGGGCTTATGGACTCTTTATGTGACTGGTGCTGGCCCTTTAAACACCTTTTTTGGGACATCAGGAAGATTGGGACACTGCCCCTTTAAGGCCGTGTCCCCAGACTTGTTGGGGACACGGCCCCTTTAAGACGGTGTCCCCTGTGTCCCCAGACCTGGTGCAAACCCTTTGTGCCTGCCTTGCTATTTCCCACTTGGTTCAGTAAATGGGAAATTATTTCAGCTGCAGAGACTAAGTCCCATTCGGTGATGGGACTTAGTCTTTTTTTCAGCCGTTTTTTTCAGCCTTATTTCAGCTGCAGAGACTAAGTCCCATTCGGCGATGGGACTTAGTCTTTTTTTCAGCCGTTTTTTTCAGCCTTATTTCAGCTGCAGAGACTAAGTCCCATTCGGCGATGGGACTTAGTCTTTTTTTCAGCCGTTTTTTTCAGCCTTATTTCAGCTGCAGAGACTAAGTCCCATTCGGCGATGGGACTTAGTCTTTTTTTCAGCCGTTTTTTTCAGCCTTATTTCAGCTGCAGAGACTAAGTCCCATTCGGCGATGGGACTTAGTCTTTTTTTCAGCCGTTTTTTCAGCCTTATTTCAGCTGCAGAGACTAAGTCCCATTCGGCGATGGGACTTAGTCTTTTTTTCAGCCGTTTTTTTCAGCCTTATTTCAGCTGCAGAGACTAAGTCCCATTCGGCGATGGGACTTAGCCTTTTTTTCAGCCGTTTTTTTCAGCCTTATTTCAGCTGCAGAGACTAAGTCCCATTCGGCGATGGGACTTAGTAGTTTTTTCAGCCTGAAATAGACCGACCTCACAGCCCAAATCTATGGAACTGTTTTGGGCAGGAAAATGTGCTTGCGGTCGGTCATAAAGGGACCTCCAGCTAACTTTTTAACCCCTGATGGATTTGGCTGATTTTTGGTTATGTTTATGTTTTAAGTGTGCTGATTCCAAATATGTAATTATGAAGATGGGATGTGTAGTTTTAAAGTTACAGGGTATGGCTAAAACTGTATTTTTACTGCCTGTGTTTAATTATGTTAATCTCTTCCCAAACGTCATTTCGTTCAAAGTGGAGAGAATGTTAAAAAAATATATTTTTGTTCGGAGTGTGAGAAATGCTTTCAGCCGCTTCTAATCTTAAGCATCATTTGAGGAGCCATACAGGAGAGAAACCTTATTAGTGGTGTGTTTAGTATTGTTCTGATCAGTTTAATACCTTCCGCGCCTCCTATCAGTGGACGTGTATATGGCAGCCATTTTAGGAACCGTACACCTGGGACCCGAGCAAGGTCACCTCGTTCAACAGGCGACAACATTTGTCCCTTGAAAACTATCCTGGACATTCTGTACAATTTGTATGGATATGGCAGTGATTTCTGTAACAGGGAGATGGAAGAAGATGCTTGGTCGGTCCTCTTAATTCAAATTTGGGACACTGCGCGGTCAAGCTAATGTGCCACCAGATAGGAGTGTAAGCTGGGTATTGTTCTGATCAGTTTAATACCTTCCGCCTCCTTATCAGTGGTCGTGGTATAACGCATTGATTTTTGTAACAGGGAGATGGAAGAAGAGGGGTTTGGTCGGTCCTCTACTGTAAAATTTGGGGCACTGGCGCGTCAAGCTAACAATGTGCCACCAGATAGGAGTGGTGTGTTTAGTATTGTTCTTGATCAGTTTAATACCTTGGTCTCCTATCAGTGGTCGTGTACACGGCATTGATTTTGTAAATAGGAGATGGAAGAAGAGGCTTGGTCGGTCCCTCTTACTGCAAATTTGGGGCACTGCGCCGTCAAGCTAATGACAATTGTAGATAGGAGTGGAGTGTTTAGTACTGGCTTTTATCAGTTTAATACCTGTGTGAGAAATGCTTTTCAGTCAGCTCTTAATCTTAAGCATCATTTGAGTGAGCCATACAGGAGAGAAACCTTATTAGTGGTGTTTTTAGTATTGTTCTGATCAGTTTAATACCTTCCGCATCTCCTATCAGTGGACGTGTATATGGCAGCCATTTTAGGAACCGTACACCTGGGACCCGAGCAAGGTCACCTCGTTCAACAGGCGACAACATTTGTCCCTGGAAAACTATCCTGACATTCTGTACAATTTGTATGGATATGGCAGTGATTTCTGTAACAGGGAGATGGAAGAAGATGCTTGGTCGGTCCTCTTAATTCAAATTTGGGGCACTGCGCGGTCAAGCTAATGTGCCACCAGATAGGAGTGGTGTGTTTAGTATTGTTCTGATCAGTTTAATACCTTCCACGTCTTCTATCAGTGGTCGTGTACACGGCATTGATTTTTGTAACAGGGAGATGGAAGAAGAGGCTTGGTCGGTCCTCTTACTGCAAATTTGGGGCACTGCGCGGTCAAGCTAATGTGACACCAGATAGGAGTGGAGTGTTTAGTACTATTTTTATCAGTTTAATACCTTCCTCACGCTCATCAGTGGTCCTGATACACACCGACACAGAGCAGAATAGGGAATGTTACCCCAAATATCGGGTCACTTGGCAGATATGATTGACACCTGTCCTCAGAGCCCTGATACACACTGACACAGATCAGAATAGGGAATGTTACCCCCAACATAGGGTCACTTGGCAGATATGGATTGACACCTGTCCTAAGGATCCCTGATACACACTGATACACCTACTTGAATGGTATAGACATTTTAGCAGCTCCTGGGTCTGCAACACCTGACCCACATAGAGTCAGAATAGACCGGATTAGGGGAGTCCGGACTGACCCTAAAGCCCAGTAAGTGCCATATAGGAACGTGTAAAAACCTCCCCAAGATAGTAGTATGGGCCCCAGAATGTGAACAGGCCCTCCAACAGCTCAAGACGGCGCTCATTAAATCACCTGTACTTTCTTCTCCTGATCCAACTAAACACTTTCTCGTCCATACAGACGCTTCTATGCTTGGATTGGGAGCAGTACTGAGCCAAGTCGGAGCAGATGGTGGCGAGCAACCCGGGGCTTATCTAAGCCGTGAACTTTTGCACAGTGAAGTATATTCACTGCCATTGAAAAGGAGTGCATAGCGGTGGTGTGGGCCCTCAAAAAGCTGCAACCTACTTGTATGACAACCGTTTACCTTACTCACAGATCACAACAAATTTGGGGCACTGGGCAGGTAATCTACCTAAAAAGCCACCAGATAGGAGTGAGTGGTGTTTTTAGTACTATTGTTATCAGTTTAATCACTGTTACGCCCCCTATCCGTTGATGTGGAGCAAGACGCAGCAGCAGAAGAGGACCAAGCCGAGGAGGTTATGGAAGAGGATGGAGTAGGAGGAGTAGAGGAGGTGGCAGCGTACAGGCAGAGTACACGCTGTAGGGCTGACACACCTGCTTGAAGATAACTAACTGCTATTCAATCTATAACAGTGAAAAATAATTTTTGTTTTTAAATCCAAGCTATTGTGACAC